TTCAACACATTGCTTACACTCCATATAAATGGCTCAAACTTATAATAGACAACAGTGTACTGAGTGTGAAGATCCAGCACTGTCTGCAAAAACTTGCCCAAAAAATTTAACCTCAGTGAAGTGGGACGCCAACGCCGGGTAGACTACATAAACCCCACTATTCTTGGAATAGGCGAGCTAAGAATGGTGATACAATAAAGTAACAGAAAGTAATACATGTAATGGCATTCCATACTACTATATCATTCTATATTTGTTATATTGTAACTTAGGACATTATTTACTTCCTTATAAGGACATGCTTTCATCCTTATAATATATATACACAGTGTGAATCAGAATTTTAAAATGATCAATCTACAATTTTATGTAGGTCATTTACTATATCCAAAACCAACCTATATCTGTGTATATACCATCAGCGGAATATATAAACATATACATGTATTTTTATATATATGTACAGTGAAACCTGTCTAATCTGACACTTATGAGACACAAGATATTGGTCAGATTTGATTTGATTTTCGAATATTCTGTTATTATTTGAAAGGTTCCATAAGAAATGAGATCACATCATTATGCTGTGGTATTATAGAATGTCAGAATACTCAGGGGTCAGATTATATATTTCACAATATTGCACAACATATACAATTGTTGAAAAGGCTAAAGTGAAAGTTTCTTTTTAAAAGATTCATCCCTTATTTCCTTATGTCTATAGTCAGCAAATAAAGGTTTCATTTCATAACAATCAAAAATATTTTTGGATTATATGATACACCTTTACAGTTTTACCATACAGTAAAACCTGCCTTTACCGACACCTGACTTAAAGGACATATTGTAATATTCGACACAGTTCTGTGGTCCGTAAAAGGTTTATTTCTCTGTCCATAACCAAACAAATAATTCAGTCCTTCTTGAAGTCAGTAAAAACAGGTTTAATTGTATTTCAGCATAAATGCCAGTCCATTCATGGTATAAAACATTCCGGAGCCGTGTGATTGATACTCCACCACAGCGTTACATACGATACCAGTGGAAGTTACATAGATACGGAGGTCCAGGAGGAAAGATTTATATACCACAGTAAACCTTACCTCTGGGCCTGGATTTGTTGTTCGCTGAAATGTTAGTCACTTATTAAATGTGTTGAACATAGGATAGTCGTAGGAGCTAACAGATTATAAGTAGATATTGTAGGGACCATATAGGATTCTCTGTTAAAATCAATTGATTAGACACAGGTGATTAGACACAGGTGATAATATTAAGATTTTATTGGAAGTTCTAACATACTTAATTTTCCCACAAGTTAAATACAGGTGTTACACAGCAGAGTACAACAACACCATTCAAACAAGCTGGAGCTTACACAATCATTGCTATATTGTACAAATTTAACACAAACAAGAGGCCCAGAGGGCCTGTATCGTTCACCTGTGTCTTTTGTTACATGAAACTGACATATAGGTAACTTCAAACCAAATTTGGTTACAAGAACACAAGACATTTTAACATCTCTTAAACGCTTAAGATATTGTTGTTTGAAATTTCAAATCTTAATTCTAAAGCTTTTAACCCACATTGACTTTTGACTCTGACTAGCACTCAAAGTTGACATGTGACCTCATTACTGTTATAAAGAAAACGTTTCACAGCTGGTCTATATAACATACCAAAGTATCATGACTCTAGTCCAAATGGTTCTTAGGATATCGTTGTTCGAAGTTTTTAACTTATTTGACTCCTGTGATCTTAGAGTAGGTCACGGTCATTTTAAAGAGGAAACTTTATAGCACTCTATCCCTGGTACCTACCGGCAAAATATCATGACCCTGGGCCTTATGGAACTTGAGAAGAAGATTGTTAAAGCTTTTAACCCATGTTGACGCTTGACCCCCGACTACCACTTAAAGTTGACCTTTGACCTCATTACTGTTATAAAGAAAATAGTTTGCGCTGCTGGTCTACATAACATACCAAAGTATCATGGCTCTAGTTCAAATGGTTCTTGGGATATTGTTGTTTGAAGTTTTTAACATATTTGACCCCTGTGACCTTGAAATTAGGTCAAGGTCATTTTAATGAGGAGACTTTATAGAACTCCCTCCCATGTAACTACTGGCGAAATATCATGACCCTAGATCCTCCAGTTCTTCAGAAGAAGTCGTCAAAAGAAAAAGTTGACGGACAGATAACAGATGCCGCAGCACGGCATAAGCTCACATGGCCCTTTGGGCCAGGTGAGCTAATAAAACAATACCAAGTTTAAGATCAGCATATGGAGTATCGCACATCTGAACACATCAAGCAACAGGTTAGACATGTATAGGATACACTTGGTGAAACTATAGCTAAGAAGTCATGAACAAAACCTACAATCTACTTACACTAGTATTATATATTGTACCTGTACAATCTACTTACACTAGTATTATATATTGTACCTGTACAATCTGACTTACTTTAATGATAAACCAAACAAATAACAACTGAACAATAGGGAAGAGGGGCAGCATTGATTGCTGAAGATTAAGAATTAAAAATAAAGATATACCAAAATTGCAACAATTCAGAGCACCGCATTGTGCATCAACATATGACTACAATATCCTTGTTGAAGGGAAATACACATCTCTGTTTTGTCTTATTTTGGCATAATGGTCGAAAAGGAATATCAGTAGTTTTGAATGTGCATATTAATTTTACTTTTCCAAGATTTCAACTGTCAGATAAGCATGTTTTTCAGAAACCATTGATTGGCAAGTGTTTTTATGCCTTCCGTTAGAAAATTACATTATCAGATGTATACTATTCCACTAGACCAACACCTGGAGCTTGTAAAGTTTAGCCCAACACCTGGAGCTTGTAGAGTTTAGCCCAACACCTGGAACTTGTAGAGTTTAGCCCAACACCTAGAGCTTGTAGAGTTTAGCCCAACACCTGAAACTTGTAGAGTTTAGCCCAACACCTGGAGCTTGTAGAGTTTAGCCCAACACATGGAGCTTGTAGATTTTTACATCAAAGCTAGTGATTTTTTTCATATTACTACACAGTATAAAGATATATGTCAAGCAAGTGTATATTTTTCAAAATCTACTTGGGTGCTAGTTTTCTAAATATGAAACTTTACACCCTAATTGATTTTGTACTGTTACGTCAAAGCTAGTGATTTTTTTCATATTACTACACAGTATAAAGATATATGTCAAGCAAGTGTATATTTTTCAAAATCTACTTGCGTGCTAGTTTTCTAAATATGAAACTTTACACCCTAATTGATTTTGTACTGTAACAACAAAATACAGCAGTTTTAACGTTGTAACAGTAACTCGCTTACACTAAACAACTACTAAATAGGAATGACTATTACAATGAATAAGGCTGCGCCATGTTATTGATTTTTCTATGTGAGTCAGGTCTGATGATGAGCAACCATTTCCATGAGATATAACACTGGAAAGGTGAAGTTGGTTAACAGATGAACACCACTTGCAGGAGTGCAGAATACTAAGTAACTTTATTTTCATTACATATTTTGTAGTTTTACCTGTCTAAGCAAACCCTGTTTTATGTGTAATAATGTGTAAGCTGAGCTTTTTTTTTTTATATAATCTTGAATCCTGTCTAAATAAGACCCTGTATAATTGGAAAATCTATTTAAAACAAAACCCTACATAATACAGAAACCTGTATAACCCAGACCCTGTATAATCTGAAGTTTTCTTGAAACAAACCTTTCATAATCTGGAATTGTACATTTTAATTGGAAACATGTTAAAACAAAACTGTGAGACCTGTTCAAACTGTATAATGTGGAAACCTATTTAAAACCAACTCTATAAAACTTGTAACACTGTCACAACCAAACTCTGTATAACAAGGAATATCCTTTCTAAACGAAACTCTATACTTATAATCTGGAAACCTGCCTATAAAATAACTCTGGATAATCTAGATACCTGTACAAACCAAAATCATGTTGTTTATAACAAGATTATATTTAGTTCAACATTCTATTACATTAATTTTAATATGCTTTCTTTTGCAAACAAATACAAAAATTTAGAATGATGTTTTTATTTCCTGTCCTCTGATGATCAATTTGAATCAATAAACATGTATTTTTAGTTTTGAATTTCAACCTTATTTAAAACAATATATATATATGAGAATGAAAAGTTGTGTATGGTTGTAGTAAGGCTGATCAGATTTCATCAACACTTCACTACATTCACTTTTACTCAACTTACTGGTCCAACATTTCTAACTAATTTTTATCTAAAATTAATAAGTTCATAAAGGGTCAAACAAAACTAACTAATCTACCCAAAATCAACAGTACACATGCACATTACAACAATCCCGCGTGCCGAAAGTTTATCTCTTAATGAGAATGATACTTCCCGGAATCTAAGAAGATAACGACAAGTGATGTGGTAGGCTAGAGTGGTTCATGACCTTCCTTGATACACACCTAACAGTACAAAGTCCAGATCATAAAATAGCCTCTGTGTCTCAATATTGCTGGAAGAAGCAAGAACCTGATTGAAGTGAATTTAGAAGAAAAATAATTCATAAGATAAACATAGCATTATCCTGTATCAGCAAAGAAACTGTCAGATAAACATAGCATTAACCTGTATCAGCACAGAAACTGTCAGATAAACATAGTATTACCCTGTATTAGCACAGAAACTGTCAGATAAACATAGCATTACCCTGTATCAGCACAGAAACTGTCAGATAAACATAGCATTACCCTGAATCAGTACAGAAACTGTCAGATAAACATAGCTTTACCCTGTATCAGCACAGAAACTGTTAGATAAACCAAAATCACACACCTTCAGTTCCAATAAAAGCAGAACTTTCAACGAAATTTTATTATCTCCTGTAGAATTCTTCTCAGCAAAAGCTTTGCTAGTTACCATTGTTATATTTATGACCCCTAAATCTTAAAATCAAACAAAGATTAACTCCTTTGATTATACCTGTTGGGGTTGGCGCTTCACTATTTTGGCGTCCGGTGGTTTTCGTAGGATCCTCTGTGTAGCGTTCCCGTTTTTTCTCGGTACCCTCAGATGGTTCTTCAGCTGCTTTACTGTTTACGTCCGTAAATTGAATATTTGATGCATTACTCTTATCCTTACTTTGCACACAACCCATGATGTTTGTGTTTTATATCACAGTTATAAATAAATTGAAACAGATTGCCACTGGTCAGTCCCCTGTCCTTGTCTGTGGTCAGTGGGTAGTTAGTGTGAGGATATCCAAGTCACGGGACATCCAGTCATGATTGGTCTGAAATACAACACAATCTGCATTAATTAAGTCATAACCTGGTAGATTCATATATTTTTATATATTACATACCTGGTGCATCTTACTTAAGTGATATAGTCAGTTTTCGGGCCAATTATAATACAATGTCCTGTATTTTACACCATGATCATTCAAAATGTATTACAGAAGTAACTAGAATTTCAGTGTCATTTTATGCTATGGAAATGTCACATCATTATTCCATCCTCTACATTATTTTGTTTATCATTGCTATGCAATTCAAATTAAAAATGTATACTGTGTAATTGGTAGGTAATGACTACCTCACAGTACTGCATGACTCAAGTTGACAACACGTTGTATAACACCCCACCCCACCCCCTCATGGTAAACCTCTCACAAATTCTTGTGAAAATAATCAACAATATTGGCAGATGACCCCCCACCTGAAACTAAATTTTGTTGTAGTTTATATTACCGTATTTATCCTACAATAAACCGAGGGGGCCAGCACATTCATTCTGGCTTATGTAGAGGTTGGGTTTATTGGAGGCACAGTAATCTAGTGGTAGGATGCCGGGCTCGTGACTGAATGTTGCGAGTTTTAATGGCACGGCACTGTTTTAAACAAGATACTTTACTCCGCTTATTCCAGTCTACTCAGCTGTAAATGAGGATGTGGTTGCATTGGGCAGTGCTAGAATTGTTGAATGCTAGCTGTGAGTACCGAAATGGCAGTACTGGCTGTATGCACCCCAGGGAGTTGGGTTTTAGTTCAAAGATATTGGCTGGTTGCAAAAGCCCTATAACCAAAGATAATAATTTGTGAACCGCTTTGAGACAACCTAGGAACTACCTAGGAACTGGTAGGTTGTGATAAAGCAGTATATACAAACCTGGAATTATTATTATTATTACTATTATTGCAGGACAGTCAAATAGCATTTGTTAGTATTTCTACCGAACTGTATTTGACAACGATGGGCCTAGTATGGGTTTATCGTTGAATAAATAGTGTTTATTCCATTTCTTTTCTGTTATTAAAATGCATATATGACAATAACTCAGATCAGGATGTGTTGGTCTATGCAGACTTAACTGTTATTTGGTCTAGTAAACAAGTTGTGGTCCCCGTTGTAGGTGATATGAAGGTGTTTACTCTCAGCAGGTATTATAGTTATGACCATATCAGGTAAACAAACCTTCATATCACTGTAAACCACCCCAGCCATAAAGTGAAATATCATTTAGATCAATCCTATCACTTTCTATCGTACACTAACCGAAAAAGTTTTTCTTGTTGAATCGGGGTTAATTTCTTAATATTGAAACATTAACAATTATGTGTAGATGCCCTTTTTAGGGAGTTGGAACATTAAAAATTATTGTTATATTGCAGAAAAGTATTAATTTAACAACTATAATGTAGCATGTTGGATTAGCTCTCTGCTTTAATTAAGAGGCCTCGAATCCATTGTTGATTTTTTGTGTGTGTAAAAGTTAAATATAAGATATCGCCCTTAAACATAATCAAATATAAATATACTCTTTGTTAGACCATTCTTATCAGGCAATAAGCCATTGTCTGGTAATAAGCCCACCCGTATCTATAACAGTTTGGTAGAATGCAAACAAAAGCTGTTTCATTGCCCTGCTGAAGTCCATAGCCCAACATTGAGTGAGAATGTATGTGTTGGCACTCTGAGCTTTTGGCAGGATATTCAGTCCTTTTTACCTTTCTTTAATCTGGTATACTTTAAAGAAAACTGACTTTACTCTCTCTTGCCCGCCAAACGCTCTGACAGTGTGTAATCCAACACGTCAGGACACAAAAGTTATTATGTAAACCAGGAAGAAATCTTTACACTTGGTCGGTAACATTGACTGAAGTGGACATTATATCTTTATACAATTCATCATTCACTTCAATTTTTTATGTCGTCTGTACCTTATTCTGACATACCTGATTTCTCTCTCAGTAAACAAGACCACTACATCTTATAAAGTCCATTTCCTTTTTGCTTGCACACTCTGTCCTGATTTTTTGTTTGTTATTAATATCCAATGTTTAATTTGGGATATTGTTGGTAACTTAAATACTCAATGAGTTAATTATTGATAGTTAAGAATATATGCTACCTTTCATGTCATACATGTGATCTGTAAACTGTATTAGAGTTAAGTCCCTTTTTAGTTTAAATTGATATCCATTGTCAGTGAAATGTATATTTGGGACAGTGTTGGTAAAAAATATATTCCATGAGGGCAGTTTTTGTTAAGGATATATGCTACTTTATTATACATGTTATCTGTGTTAGAGTTACCTCCCTTTCTATGTATTTTTGTTACTATATATCTACTATCAGTACACCAATGTTTGGGTAATGTTGATGGTAAATATACTCACTAAAGGTTGACTATTGATAGTTTAAAGTATCTGCTACCTATCCATGTGATTTGTGAGATAGATAACTCCCTTCTTAGATTATTGTATTTATCCGACAATTAACTCATGACTGGTAATAAGCCCATAACTACTGCAGTTTTGTAGAAATGCCAACACATGTTATTTAAATGTATAAGCCTCTGGTCCTACTTAAGGATGAATATGGTATATAACAGAATGCTTATTGAAGTATACTGGTACAATCTTGTGTACCTATTAATTTAACTTGTCAATAAATAACAAACTCTAATTCCACATCACATGGTTCCTGGTTTGAAACTCTTTGTGAAGAGAGATACATTTTGTACACAAGTTACAGAGGTAGTATAAACCCTTAATTGTTCATGTTTAACATTTTACTTGTTATATGGTTCTGGAAACCTACACCCACATGCCTTTAACGTAGATCAGTTAGCTATAGGCATTATGTACATTATGCATGTGTAGTGTACTTTCATAAAGTGAAATATACCCTAAGGTAAAAACTACCTGGTATGTACAGTAAAACTTCAATATAACGCCCCTCATTTCAACTTGCAAACTGGCTTACCATCAACATATTTCTAGGTCTCTTTTTGGGAAATGACTTACATAAGGCAGATCATACTGTTTTAAATAATCACATCTTAAATAAATTTAATTTAAAGTCCAATTTTCCCTTTTTGTTAATGTAATGTCCCTCCATGTTATACGAAAGCCTTTAAACAATGCCAAAATTTGACTGGACAAGTGATGGCATTACAACAAAGTTAATTCTTATATAACACATATTATTAAACTACCTGTACCGCGATACTCCTCGTAATATTCCCTGCTATAGAATTAAGATATTAATTTTAATATTAGTTTTGAGAGAAATATCAACTTACAATTTACTTTTTAAAATGCTATGAGTAATTTGTAATTAAGTATGAAGTCAAACAATTTAATACAACAAATATCATCACAACATCCTGGTTTATAAACCTTTGTTAGCCTATTGATACATTCAGGTTCCTGGTTCATAAACCTTTGTTAGCTTAATGATACACGCAGGTTCTTGGTTTATAAACCTTTGTTAGCTAAATGATACACGCAGGTTCCTGGTTTATGAATCTTTGTTAGCTAAATGATACACGCAGGTTCCTGGTTTATGAATCTTTGTTAGCTAAATGATACACGCAGGTTCCTGGTTTATGAATCTTTGTTAGCTAAATGATACACGCAGGTTCCTGGTTTATGAATCTTTGTTAGCTAAATGATACACGCAGGTTCCTGGTTTATGAATCTTTGTTAGCTAAATGATACACGCAGGTTCCTGGTTTATGAATCTTTGTTAGCTAAATGATACACGCAGGTTCCTGGTTTATGAATCTTTGTTAGCTAAATGATACACACAGGTTCCTGGTTTAAAAATTATCACTCTCAGGTATTATGCACAGATATACTCATATTTCTTTTATACACATATACTTCAGAATATTTGTGAGAATTTGTAATGTTGTTCTGCTAAGCTGATGACACTAATGATAATGGCTCCCTGTATGTCTGACATAGCCTGTGGGGACCATTGTTGTATTTATGATCACAAATACTGTTTAACACATAATGAGGCAGGTTTTGTACAAATGTACCGAAATCCCCGCTCCTCTCCCTACCTTCACAAGACCACCGTCACTAGTCGCCATAATGAATGGCTATCACATGTTTACCTGTGTAACTGTTACGTCAGAAAGTCCTGAGCGCTGGTTTAATCCATCATCATCCTTTTGTCCAGAACAAACAAACTCACTGATATATAAACTGTATATATAGAGACAACATATCTTCCTGGTAAAGTTCATATATAAATATATATATAAGGTACTTATGGTCATCAAGAGATGACAATTTCCTGTTATTCAACTATCCTGCACCTTGTATACACAGCTTAACATCTATTTACCACGAGGACTTAGGATGGACGTCTGTGTGGGCTGTAAGTACTGTACATATGACTAGAACAGGCTAAGTACACAAGAATCTGTACCAGTGTACACATATATCATCCTTCTGTATTCTGGAAAATCCCTGAAACATGCTGTATCCTAACTATATACTGTATATAACTTAGTGTATTTGTTTATATGAACCATAAACTTATTTTTTCAATTTTGTGTATCATAGAATAAATTGAGAATTTGACCTGCGTCATTATAATTTAAAAATATCCTTCAGAATAATTCCTTCCCAATGTTAATCGTTTCACAACAGGAACATTCATAACTACCAGACAGTAAAACTTTGCTATAATGTCCATCGTTAAATTTACAATTCCATTTACAGCCAATATTTCCGTTGCCCCCCCCCCCCTTTTTTTAACAATTCCTTTGTCTCCCTTGATATAATGTCAAAGCCATTCATAATGCCACATTTAGCTGGATTCTAAGCCAATCAAAAGTACAGAGCCAAGGATTGTTCTATCATAATTCAAAATAACTCTACAGCATGTGAGCTTCACCATAAGGGGGTAGCTTTCTTCATCAAGATATAACGCTATCTAAACGAGTACATGTATGCAAGCTGTTTAAACTGCTCATCTTCATCAGTTTCA